AATTGGGTTTGGGTTTGGGTTTGGGTTAATTGGGCCGGGTTTTGGGTAGGATGGGTTGGTTGAATATGGGTTGGGTGAATATGGGCTTTGGTGAATATGGGCTTGGGCGAGTGGGTGGGGTGTGTTGGGCCGGGGCCCAAGTAGTCCAGGGTTAGGGGAGGGAACTGTCCAGGGCGGGTAGCCCAAAGGTTTCCGTTGATTTCCGCCATCGCCACGACCGCGACTGCCGTCGCGACCCCTACCGCGGTTTCTGCCTCCACTTCCACCGCTGGAATTCCTGCCGCGTCCGCCATAGCCGTCGCCATATCCGCCGTCAAATCCGCCGCTGCCGCTCCTCCCAGACCTGACATAGTCGCCGCCTCGGTCTCGCTGGTGTCCGCTGCCCGTATGGACGCCGCCGTCGCCGATGCTGAGGAGGGCTGTGGACGGCGCGCCGGCACCATAAATGGCATCGGTTTGTTGCTGTTCGACGAGGAGTAAGGTGGACCAAACTTCCAAGAAGGTCGGGAGTGGATTTTGGTATTGCAAAAATTGAACTTGACTCTGGATGTCGTGAGGGAGGCCTTGAAGAACTTGGAGTACAAGAGCATGTTCAGTGACAGGAGCATCCACGTCGTCTAGGTACTTGGAGAGATTCTTGAGAAGACGACTATATTCGTTGATGGAGAGTTGGCCCTTGACAGTTGTACGGAAACAGTGCTCGAGTTGCATCGCCCGGGCATGCTTGTTGTCGTGAAAAAGATTGTAAATTGCCGTCCATAGTGCATGAGCGGTGAGATTGTTGGTGAGCACAAGGTCGGAGACTTCATTCGTGATCGTAGCCAGGATCCATCCTTGAATTAGGGGATCAAATTGATACCATTCAGCATCGTCTGCGGAGGAGGCACAAGTTTTGCCATCGATGTAGCCTTTGAGATTGAAGCGGAGGATTAAGAGACGAAACAATCGACTCCACTCTTTGTAATTTGGTTCTGAGAGACTGAGTTGGACAGGAATATGGAGTTTAATGTTGGAGATTGTGGTGAAGGCAAGGTGGGGAGATTTAGAGGAGTTGTTATCGGAAGAGACAGAGGAAACTTCGGCCATGATTGCCGGCGGCGAGAGAACTGCCGTGAGGGGGGGGGGCGAAACAGAGAAGGAGAGAATTAGGGTTGGAGAGTGAGCTGTGATTGATTATCGCTCCGATACCATGAAGAATGAATATTTTCACATAAATTATTATGGGAGAATACATGTGTATATATATAGGAGTTTCCTAATGATAATAAGAAACAATATTAATTACACCCTATACAATTATGGAAGCTACCAATTTACATTAATATTAAATATAGTAAGAATATATTTAACAGGTACTTTGGAGAATTCACAAGATCCAGTTGAATCATACTTGCAATTCCCGTGCGTGGGAGCAACGCACTCCCTATCTAGCATTTTAGGACCAATAGTGCAACATAACGTTTTAAATTATTCATGGGTATTTGGTGCAATTTTTAATTTTCAGGGATAAATCATGTAATTTTCGAAGAGTCTAAGGACAAACAGTGCACTTTTTAACGTTCATGGATAAATAATATGATTTCAAAGAGTTTGGGGGTAAAGAGTGAACTTTTCTCATTAAACAATACAATGTAAATTCTATCTATATAACAATACACTTCATTTTCAATTCTTTAATACTATGTTTGGTTCAAGAAATTTGAGAGAAAGGAAAAAAATGAGAAAGAAAGCATTTTTCTTGTTTGGTTAGAGAAAAAAAAGAAAAGTGGAAGGAAAAGAAAAAGAGAAGATAAAATGTATTAAGAGGAAGGAAAATCAAATTTCTTCCATTTTGGTGAGGAAAATGAAGGAAAACCATTCTCTTTTCTTTTCCTACCAAATTCTTTGAACCAAACATAGTATAAAGAAATCTTAACATATAAAAAATGACCTATTCATGCTTAGGATATCTCAAATTGACCCTAAAATTAACACAAAAATTCTTTAACACTATGTTTGGTTCAATGAATTTGAAAGAGAAAAGAAAAGAAAATGAATTGGAAAATAGTTTTTCATGTTTGATTGGAGAGGAAAAGTGCAAGGAAAAGAAAATGAAAAGACAAATGTACTAAGTGGAGGGAAAACAAAAATCCTCCTATTTTGTTGAGAAAAATGAGAGAAAGTCATTTTCATTTCTTTTCCTTCCAAAATCCTTGAACCAAACATCTTTTAATATACAAAGCTAAAGTGAAAACATGAATACTGCAAGTTTCCCACCTAAACACATTGGGCACGGTTTGGGCATTTGATATCGGATTGGGCAAAGAAGATAATTGATCCGAATGGGAAAAAAGGTTTTTTGGTTGGGCTAATGGGTCTTTGGTACCCGTGAGAATTTAAAGCAAATGTTGGGACATGTGTTTTGACGAGATTGTTGGGACATGTCTTTTCACTTCCATCAATTTACTTTAATTCTCAAACACCTCAATGTAAAATCATCATTATTTTCTCCCCACAACCCATGTTCGAATTTAATGTTTATAAACCCTTGCCCAATAGCTTCAATTTATTTCCCCACCACTAAAACTTTTGAAAATTTCATCTTTCTAATATGGCTCCAAACCGTGTTTTCCCTGGTCTGTTTACCAATCTCGGTGAGCTCGAAAAGGACCATAACAACATTGCTATCAATGTACGAGCTATTCGTGTCTATCACGTTCATCCTTTTGGAAGAAATGTTGAGTCCATGGAGGTGGTCTTTCATGATGATGAGGCCAGGTATGTAAACTTTGTTTAAATCCTAATGATTCAAGTTATTTTTTAAAGTTATGCACTCAAACAAGCAACTATTTTCAAATCATTTTTTTGAAATATTCTAATTGTCAACCATATCTTAAACATGCTAACCGTCTTTCTTGACATGAGTTTTGAGCCACGAACCATTTAATGTAAAGTATGGAGTTTTTAAGCACACTAAATTTTCACGACTCTCTATGACTTATATATCTTGATTTAAAAGAATTGAAAGATCCTTCTATTTTGATTTTACTAAAAATATTTTTTAAAAGAAATGTAATAATACTTTTATTAAAACAAATGCATTGATAATGTAAATAATTTTCAAATTTGTTGGACATATCAAGGAGCATTGATATACGAAGTATTAAATTAACAAGTCATTTCTTATGTGACTTAAAGTATAGGTAATTGATTATGTTCTTTGAGCATTGATATACGAAATATTAAATGAAGAAACATTGATATACAAAATATTAAATGAAGAAGCCATTTCGGATGTGACTTAAAGTATATGTAATTGATTATATTCTTTGAGCATTGATATACGAAATATTAAATGAAGAAGCATTGATATACAAAATATTAAATGAAGAAACCATTTCAGATGTGACTTAAAGTATCGGTAATTTGTTAGACAAAATGTGCAACTTTAGAGAGGGGTGAATAGAGTTGTTTTCTAGAATGAGTGTTTTTCACGCGTGTGTATAACCAAAATAAAAAATTGAAAGAAATATGTAAAGAGTAAGGGAAAGAAAAACACCCCGATGTATATTGGTTCACCACCTCGTGGCTAGTCTAGTCCTCTAAGACTTTCTCAAAGGTCCTACTAATTTTCAAGCTTCAATGGGTGCTTGAAAAACCAATACAACTCCAGATCTTAAGTCACACAAGCCTCAACTTCTTACAACAAGACTTGAGTCACACAAGTCTTAACAACAATCAACAAGACTTGAGTCACACAAGTCTTAGCAACAACTCAAACAAGATTGAGTTTTACAACACAAGAATGAAAGTTCACACAATTGAGCAAGTAATGTTTGAAATCTGAAAGCTTTATGGATGACAATCTCTTTTAGTTTCAACAATAATAATCTTAATTCTCAAAATAATATATTTGATGATGAGAATTGAAGCAAGGAGTTGAATATGAATAAAGGGAAGAAAAGAGTGCAAGAATTGTGTGTTTGATGATGGAGGATGAGGAATTTTATAGGATTGAAAGAAATAAATCCGTTGGAGATAGAGATGAAATGTTTTAACAAATTTTAATGTTAGGGATCGATCCAAGGCATGTGATGGATCACCCCGAGTTAAAAACTTGGATTTTTTTTATCAGGACCACGAGGGATTGATCCAACCCCGTGGATTGATCCTCCGAATAAAATATTGGATGTAATTGGATCGATCCAAGACCATGGATCGATTATCTGATCGAGACTCTACACACTGGACCGATCCAAGCAGTGAATCGATACCCTGAAGAACAATCTCCAAACATGGAAGATCCAAAACATGTGTGCGAGTGGGATGTACAAAATTGGAGTTTGTGATTTGTTTTAGAAATGATTTCAGGGATGAAGAGGCTTCCAAAAGTAAACAAATCAACAAGTTAATTGAATTTAATTCAAATTCAAAAATTGAATTAAGAAATGAATTTACTGCGTAGAAAATGAGTCCCAAAAATATTTTGTTTGTCAAACAGTGTACATGAAAAATATTTAAAGTAAATTTTTCTTACTTCAAAGAATTTGTGTACCAAAAAAATAATTGAAGAAATTTTGACACACTATTTTGTAACTGACCTAGTAAATTATTTTTAGATAAAAAAATTAATTTCGACTGACTTAGAAAATAATAATTTGTCCCTAAAAAAAATAATTTGTTTATGAAGAAATGATTGTCATCCTGAAGCGCCCCTAAAAATACCCTAGAATTATCAATGAATAATTATTCAATTAATCAAATTTGTTTTGATTAAAATAAATTATTGTTGGGCTTTGGGCCGATACGAAATATGTTTTGATATCACAATCTCGATAAATCTCTTTGAGGTAAATCCAATATATTGACTATTGTGTGATCTCTTGATTGGGAACCTGAGCACAGACCCAAATCAAGAATAAATAAAGAAATTATTTATAATGTGAGCTTTGAATTGATCTATTGAAATAAATCATGAAAACAAATGATATGAATTATATATGAGAACCTTTTTGAATAAAGGTCAAATAAACTAATTTTGACTCTGTCAAAGTCAAACACCCAAAAAAATGATGTCGGAAAAAGTATTGCAAATAAATATAAAAATTATATCGTTGGATAGAGTTTAACTGTCCGATCGTAATGGTACAAACGGAATTTAATTCGGAGAAAGTTGGACCAAAAAGTGTACCCCGACTGGGACTAAATTTAGTCCCAATCAGGGACTTGCGCTTGGAATCGGAGAAATATCGCAGCCCGCTCCACTAGCCGCCCGAATAGGAGGAAACTAGACATCACCCTTGGCAGCATCCTTCACCATTTTCCTATATAAGGACCACCTCCATTCCTTCAATTCTTCATCATTTCTCACGATCTTTCTATCTATTCTGTTGTTGGGAGTGAGGAGAACGCAGTGGTGCTGTCATATTGGTGAGAGGTCGCCGGAGTTGGGAGATATAGTCGCCGGAAAATCTTCAAAACCTCCATTAAGCTTCGAGGTAAGCCCGTAGATATATCTAGTGACTAGAATGTTCGTATAGATCATTTCTACGTTCATAAACGGTCGTTTGGTTGAGTTTTGTGTTTGACATGCTTGAAGAACCAAGAATCATAAACCATGAATTTGATGTTAAAACTATGAATTAATGATGCCAAAATGATCTATGAACCTTGGAGAACATTTCTATATAGTTTAATTGAAGTTTGGAAACTAAAAATGGAATTTTTGAAATTGGAGTCACGAGGTAGAAGACGATGAACAGAAGCTGAAAAGCCACTGTCTGGATCGATCATCTAGCATGGATCGATCCTCTGGGAGGAGTTTTTCACATCATGGATCGATCTAGAGGGCTGGATCGATCCCCCGAAGTTCTGATTCGAAAATTTGCCCGAAATTGCTATTTTTGAGCTCTAAAGTCCTATTTTTGATACCAATTGATTATGATTATTTTAAGGATGATTTTTTACAATAAAAATGATGTTTTTAACATATAAAAATGTTATGTGATGCATGACGGTAAGTTCGGGTGTTAACACTTGAAACTAGACCGCTATTTGTTATCAATTGTTATGTTGATTGATGATTATGATGAATGATTATTATGGATGATTATGAATGATAAACTTACTGATTAAAATGATTATTGATGATTGAACCATAAGTAAAATGAATATATTGATAATTATTAAACGATTTGTATTGTTAACGGTATCTAGAAAACTCTAAGATAT